GATCTATACAAAACATAGTAATCAGCTCGTATATATAAAAGCACTTTTCAATCCGTTAGTATTCTCTAGAAAACTTTACGATCAGTTAGTTTTCTGTAGAAAACATTGGATCAGTTCGTTTTCTATGAAAAACATTTTATTATATAGGAATCTTTACGATCAATTAGTATTCTATACAAAATATTACGATCTTTTTGTAGAAAAGGTTGCGATCAGTTTGTGATCTATAAAAAACTCAATAATCAGCTCGTTTTATTACAAAAACTTTACGATCCGTTAGTTTAGTGTAATTGTATGTTAGTTTTATCTAGGAAACTATACAATCAGTTAACATAGCGATCACCACGTTTTATTTAAAAAATTAACTAACTTACTAAGGGAAAATTTACGCTGCAATCAGCTCGCTTTCTTAAAAAAAAAAACTGTACGATCAGTTCGTTTTCTGCAAAAACTCCATTATCCAACTTTGCGATCGGTTCGTTTTGTATAGAAACCTTTACGATCTGTTTTCTGTAGAAAAACTTGCATTCATTTACTCGTTTTAAATAAAAAACTTTACGATCAGTTCATTTTATATAGTAAATTATATATTCAGATAGTTTTCTATATATAGATTCTATGAAACTTCTATGAACTTAACGATCAGTTTGTTTTCCTTAAAAAGCATTACGATCAGTGAGTTTTTTATAGACAACTTTAGGATCACTTCTATAGTGATCTATAGAAAACTTAATAATCAGCTCGTAATTAAACAAACTTTACGATCAGTTAGTTTTCTATAGAAAACATTGGATCAGTTCGTTTTCAATGAAAAACTTAGTTATGAGTTTTTATTCTATAGAAAACTTTACGATCTATTAGTATGCTATAGAAAATTATTCTTTAAACTTTGCGATCGGATCGTTTTATATAAAAAATTTTACGATAAGTTCGTTAAATCTGGTGATCTATAGAAAACTAATAATCGTTTTGTTTCAAATACTTTATGAAACTTTTTCTACAGAAAACATAGCGATCAAAACTTTACGATCGGTTCGTTTTCTATAAAAACTAAATTAGTGCGTTTCCAATGAAAATGTTTTACGATAAGTTTTTTTGTAGAAAAACTTATAATGATCAGCTCGTTTTAAATAAAAACTGTTAATTAAGTATTGAAAACTTTATGATCAGATAGTTTTCTATAAAACGATCGGTTAATTATCTATAGAAAATTTTACGATCATTTAGTTTTTACGATCTATTCTATTTATCAGACTCTATAGAAAATATTACGAATAAGTTTTTTCTGATTTTTGGTTCAATTAAAAATGTTAAAAAATGTTGACTTTTGAGAATTAATCTATTGTCTTTTAAAACCAATAATAATTTCTTTAAGTGTAAACCATTATTAAGATGTCGTGTATGGCAAATTATTATTATTATTACTTACACACGTGTTTAAAATATTAATAAATTATAAATATTTATATTCAAACTCATTGCTATCATTGTCATTATCATCATCATTATTATGCTAAAGATAATGATGATGATGATCGTTATCATCAATTTACCAAATAAATAAGCATTTCAATTATTTTTTGGAATTTTTTCATTTTTAATTAATTGCAACCAATCAGCCGTTAAAACCAAACACCATACCGCTCCAATCATTTATCCGTATTTGTTAGTAAATGTTGGTCAATATTCATAATCATAATAATTAAGTTTTTTTCCATTTTATCGAAATTGTTATTGTTATGGAAACGTCAATTATCCATAAACAGCGTCTGTCCGTCTATCTTTGCGTTCATCCTTCGTCATTGGTTGTTATTATTTATTTACTTTTCCTATAAAGTTAATTTACATAATAATAATAAAAATTGTATTTTCTATTTAATTTTCTATTTTTATTGAATTTATTAAACATTGATGCAGTTTATTGAAATTATTTACATTTAAAACACAAATTATCGGTAGGGTTTTGTTATACTAATTGCTTTAGTTTTGTTGCTTTTATATTTAATTATAGAAAACTATGGGGAGATTCATTTAATTTATTTGCTAAATATTTAATTAAAATATTAAATAATTTAGAAATATTTTTATTGAAGTAATATTGTTTAATAAATTCTAAAATTAGTATGAAAATTATAAAAATAAAGTGAAAGAATAAAATCATTTTAATGATTATAATTTATCATTGCCTAAAAAATAATCACTGCCTAATTGATTTATTTATTTTTAATATGAATTGTCTGCTCGTGCATGTCCCTAATGTCAATGTTTTAATTAATTAGTAGCGTTTAACTATTTACTATTTGTTTCAAAATATAGACAGACAATAATGAAAAATGTGACATTTAGATACAATAAATTTATTTATTTATTAAACTAATAAAAATCAACACTTTATTCGCTAAATATTTATAAACAATTGTGTTGAGTAGACTGACACAGAGACAAACTAAAGCTGATAACATAATTATTCTAGAATTGTTAGAAAGCTTTGAAAAAATTTGTCAATTTTCCTATTAAAAAATAAACATTTAGCTTCTAGTCTAGTCTATAGTCTAGTCTAGTCTATAGTCTAGTCTATAGTCTAGTCTATAGTCTAGTCTATAGTCTAGTCTATAGTCTAGTCTATAGTCTAGTCTATAGTCTAGTCTATAGTCTAGTCTATAGTCTAGTCTAGTCTAGTCTAGTCTAGTCTAGTCTATAGTCTAGTCTAGTCTATAGTCTAGTCTAGTCTATAGTCTAGTCTATAGTCTAGTCTATAGTCTAGTCTATAGTCTAGTCTATAGTCTAGTCTATAGTCTAGTCTATAGTCTAGTCTATAGTCTAGTCTAGTCTAGTCTAGTCTATAGTCTAGTCTATAGTCTAGTCTATAGTCTAGTCTATAGTCTAGTCTATAGTCTAGTCTATAGTCTAGTCTATAGTCTAGTCTATAGTCTAGTCTATAGTCTAGTCTATAGTCTAGTCTATAGTCTAGTCTATAGTCTAGTCTATAGTCTAGTCTATAGTCTAGTCTATAGTCTAGTCTATAGTCTAGTCTATAGTCTAGTCTATAGTCTAGTCTATAGTCTAGTCTATAGTCTAGTCTATAGTCTAGTCTATAGTCTAGTCTATAGTCTAGTCTATAGTCTAGTCTATAGTCTAGTCTATAGTCTAGTCTATAGTCTAGTCTATAGTCTAGTCTATAGTCTAGTCTATAGTCTAGTCTATAGTCTAGTCTATAGTCTAGTCTATAGTCTAGTCTATAGTCTAGTCTATAGTCTAGTCTATAGTCTAGTCTATAGTCTAGTCTATAGTCTAGTCTATAGTCTAGTCTATAGCCTAGTCTATAGTCTAGTCTATAGCCTAGTCTATAGTCTAGTCTATAGTCTAGTCTATAGTCTAGTCTATAGTCTAGTCTATAGTCTAGTCTATAGTCTAGTCTATAGTCTAGTCTATAGTCTAGTCTATAGTCTAGTCTATAGTCTAGTCTATAGTCTAGTCTATAGTCTAGTATATAGTCTAGTCTATAGTCTAGTCTATAGTCTAGTCTATAGTCTAGTCTATAGTCTAGTCTATTCTATAGTCTAGTCTATAGTCTAGTCTATAGTCTAGTCTATAGTCTAGTCTATAGTCTAGTCTATAGTCTAGTCTATAGTCTAGTCTATAGTCTAGTCTATAGTCTAGTCTATAGTCTAGTCTATAGTCTAGTCTATAGTCTAGTCTATAGTCTAGTCTATAGTCTAGTCTATAGTCTAGTCTATAGTCTAGTCTATAGTCTAGTCTATAGTCTAGTCTATAGTCTAGTCTATAGTCTAGTCTATAGTCTAGTCTATAGTCTAGTCTATAGTCTAGTCTATAGTCTAGTCTATAGTCTAGTCTATAGTCTAGTCTATAGTCTAGTCTATAGTCTAGTCTATAGTCTAGTCTATAGTCTAGTCTATAGTCTAGTCTATAGTCTAGTCTATAGTCTAGTCTATAGTCTAGTCTATAGTCTAGTCTATAGTCTAGTCTATAGTCTAGTCTATAGTCTAGTCTATAGTCTAGTCTATAGTCTAGTCTATAGTCTAGTCTATAGTCTAGTCTATAGTCTAGTCTATAGTCTAGTCTATAGTCTAGTCTATAGTCTAGTCTATAGTCTAGTCTATAGTCTAGTCTATAGTCTAGTCTATAGTATAGTCTAGTCCATAGTCTAGTCTATAGTATAGTCTAGTCTATAGTCTAGTATATAGTCTAGTCTATAGTATAGTCTATAGTCTAGTCTATAGTCTAGTCTATTGTATAGTATAGTCTAGTCTATAGTATAGTCTAGTGTATAATAGAGTCTAGTCTATAGTCTAGCCTATAGCCTATAGTTTATAGTCTAGCCTATAGTCTCATCTATTGTCTAGTCTATAGTATTGAGGGTTCAACGCTTTCGTATGTCAAAATTTGTTGTTGGCAAAAGATTTTTGTCCAAGTGACACGTAGATGATTCTGAAACCTACAATATTTCTCTGAAGTATGAGTAATAATAATTAAGACAAGCATTGCTCATACGTTCGTTCGTTAAATTATAGTTCACACATTACACAGACCAACAAATTTTAACCCAGAGATCAAAGTATACTTTTATAAAGGATTGGGCTGAATCCGAACTTTTAAATTGAAATAACTTGTAGAAGGATGAATATATTACGGAGATTGAACTTTTAATTTAAAGTCTGCAGATTGGACTATCAGATGACAAGATTTTATAAGAAAAAAATGTGTCTTTCAATATGGCCAAAAATGCTGTTTTTCAACCTTTAGGTCACAATATCTCGAAAATGTGATGGAAAAATTCTAAAGCAAGATTCGGATTCAGCAAAGCTCGATCTTTTTAAAAAGTATACATACATCAGATTTCGACTTTTTTAAAATTTTGTTGGCCTGTGTTATTCTTGATAATCAGATGTTTATTTAAAGCAATTGTAAATTTTTTATTAAAATTCCTTTAAAACAATTATAATAATAATTAAATTTAATTTATCATTTTCTACTTGCAGCTGCGAATATTATTTAAGAAGTCATCCATGGGTACCAGCATATCAGGGGGTTATAACATTTTTTGTTTTAGCCAATTTTACATTGGCCACTTTCATGGATCCAGGTGTAATACCCAAAGGTAAATTTCGTACTGATACGTAAAACCATTCACGAAAAAAATAATGAATTTTCTTAACTTTTAGCTTCTCCTGATGAAGATCGAGAAGAAGAATTCCGGGCTCCTTTATATAAGAATGCTGAAATAAATGGTATTACGGTGAAAATGAAATGGTGTGTAACGTGTAAATTTTATCGACCGCCAAGATGTTCACACTGTTCCGTGTGTAATCATTGTATAGAAGTGAGTAAAAAAAAAGCACAGAAAAATTCAATTTACTTGATGCATGTAAATTTCTTTAGTTACGACAACAAGTGCTTGTTATTTATATTTTTAACCATTGTTATCTAACTATGATTATGATTGTGTCATTTATTTTTATATTTATGTTTTTGTTGTATAATTCCAGACATTCGATCATCATTGTCCTTGGGTTAATAATTGCATTGGACGACGTAATTATAGATTTTTCTTTTTCTTTTTGGTTTCTCTATCTATACACATGTTGAGCATATTTTCTTTATGCTTATTTTATGTATTAAAAACAATGCCAAATATAAGGCAAACAGCACCAATTGTATCGTAAGTATTCAATATTATTATGATTTATTTAATTCATTGATCATTTTTGATGAAATTGTTTATTAAATTTAGTAAATTTCATTTTGTTTTCAGCATGGTATTAATGGGTATTGTAACAATATTAGCCATACCCATATTTGGTTTGACGGGTTTTCATATGGTCTTAGTGTCGCGGGGGCGTACAACAAACGAACAAGTGACAGGTAAATTTAAAGGTGGCTATAATCCTTTTTCACGTGGCTGTTGGCATAATTGTTGCTACACACAATTTGGTCCACAATATCCAAGGTGGGTTTAACACGCTTAATCAATTTCCTCACTAAACTAACACAAATAATTTATCATTTTCCTTTGCAGTCTTCTTAAACCAGAAAAATATGCAGCTCGTCGGTCACATAAAGAAAATCAAGGCATTAGCACGATAACAACAGAACGTGATGCCAACAATCAATCCAACTCTGGTAGCATAATGCGTGGCGGTGGTGGTGGTGCCGGTGTAACGGTTAAATCTGGTGTCATGTCTACGGCTAATGCTCAACATTCGCCGCATGGAATGCCACGCAATTATTATGAACGGGACCAGCGTCATACACAGGTAAAGACTTATACGGACCAGGGCAATGGTTTTAATCAGCGGTCGGGCAGCACAACGCTTTATAGTAAGGTGGGTAAATTGTGTAATTAAACGAAAACCAAACAAAAAAAATCAAGTAAAATTACAAAAAAAAAGAAATGCATTCTCTTGTTCTTATACTTCTATAAAAAATTCTATTCTATTTATTTTATTTCTTATTACATTCTTGTTATTTTTATAGTTGTAATCTAGTTGTAATTGTATTATAGTATGTAATTTTCGTATTTATTTTGTTTATTTTTCATTAAGTTCTTTTAAACACTTAGTTATGTTTTTCTTTTTTTACCATTTTAACTTTTTTGTAGCATGGGAAGTTTTATTTGTTGTAAACAGATTGCAATAATTTTGCTTAAGGTGTAACTTTTTTATATTTAAATTATTTTTAGCTTTTTCTATTTATATCGCCTTGATTTGTGGAGTTTGATATTTAAAAAAGTGATATAATTATATCAGTTGTACATTATACATATTATTGATCCGATTTTTTTACTAATTATTAAAAATACTTGGATCTTTAAAAGCCACATAAGAAGTATACCAGACTTATTCAATTGTAACTTTTTTATATGGAGTTACGAAAGATCAAGATATCATACGTAGAGGAATTGTTAAAAATTCAAGAGTCCCATAAAGCAAACAGAAGTTGTACTGATTACAGAATTTCTCCATTACATTAAGTTTTCGAGATGAAGTTTGAAAAATAATTTCTGCTTTTGGTCATATTTGAGACATTGAGGCGAAGTCACTTTTATTTGTATGATTTTGTATGTAAAGAACTATCTATTGACCACATCAGTTGATTTTAAGTAATATTACTGAAATGCCTATTAACGACGACAGTTTACGTCTTCTTTGAACGTTTAATCGTCGGTTTAATATTTGACTCTTCCTCGGATCGTTGACATTTAGGTGCCTCTGCGACAGGATTAGCTACTTCTGCCTAGACGGGCTGCTCTTGGCTCGGCCGAGGGATAGTAGGGATACACTGAAAAAACTCGTATTTCTTTGTCGACGGTTCCTCTTGTATAAGTTGCTGAAGGGACGCATAATTGTTAGCCGAAACCAGGGGTGCAACTGAATTTTGTTGTTGTGGTCGCCTTTGCTCGTTTGCTTTGCTGTTCTAAGGACTGTAACTGTGAAGATGATGTTCAAATTATCTTAGAACATCATCTACACGAAGAAATGAAGATAGTCCTCCCAGTCAAGGTACATGTCATGTTAACTAAACAGTTCCACCTGAGAGGAGGAGCCATCCCAACTTTAGCATCACAAAGTTTGAAGCCTCCCTTGAGGCATGTCCGGAAGGACCTTCTTATATGTGAGGAAAACATAAGTAGTTATGTGCAGGATCCATTAAATCAGTCCTGGTACTCAGTAGCATTGACTGACATTCATAGAGACACCATGAATTCCGCGGTCGCAGGATACCACATGAATGTCGTACTTGGAGGTCGCCCACTGCAGACACGGAAGAAAACCTGCCGCGGAGAACAAGAGTAGTTGTAGCACAACTAAGATCGGGATGGAACAACAGGCTTAATGTCTATTAGTCTCGCATAGAGCGTGCCGTCCCTAATGAATGTCCAGATTGTGGACAATATCCACATGATACCCACCACTTATTTACATATGTGTTTTTTTGGACACATCCTGCTGAAGCAGCACAATTTTTAGGCCTGGACATTAGATTACTGTATAGTTTTAGCTATTACAACAACAACCTTCTCATTAGGAGAAAACTGACTCCTATGGATTCAGCCGAACTGCTTTATAGATGGAACTTTGACACTAAAATGGAAGAAATCAGCAGAGTCCTGCTGACAGACTGTCCAATATGTAAAACAGATGGGATGTTGTGAATCCCATATTCCGACTGACATAAGATAAAGGGACAGTGTTGAGTCGTCTAAAGGCTCACACTGTAGTTGTAAAAGTACCACCATGAAATAGGCCGAAAGACAGGTGTTTACGTAAAGCACATCGACTTATACCGTCTTACATGAGAGACCCTACAGGAGGCAGTCAGCTTGGCCCCAGCTCCCGTCATCAACATGATTCATATTAATCATTGTACTTAAGCCTTTACATCGTGACAACATGACTAGCCTTTGTGATGTAACGAACGGAAGATTTAGTAATTTAGAAGTAGACATTTTTCATCAATAGATCACAAGAGTATTTTCGATTTAAGACACTTCAATCGCAAATGATTTAAGTTCACCTAAAGTTCAATTTAAGCTTGTTTTTTTAATCTCTAAAAATATTTGATTTCTTAAAAAACTTCCCATAACTATTTACTTACTATATACTAGTATTTTAAAGCCAATTTTTTCTGTTTTTTTTTTTAATATGTATATAAAACCTTAGTGTATTTTATTATTTTTATTTTATACTTTATTATTATTTTTCTTATTGTAGTCTTTTGTCTGTAAGTTTTGTGGCTGACTGGCTAGTTTTGTTGGTTAGTTGGTGGTCTGGTGTTTCCTTTTTATTATTATTATTGTTTCATTTTATGTATTTTCTATTGTTTGACTATAGATCTTAACTGCAATATATTTTCATTAGTTTTACAATTTTTTTTTTTGTTTTTATTTTTCTCACTCCTACATTCTTCTTTCCTCTATGCAATATATGTTTGTTATAATTATTTAACATGAAAAGAAGAAGTGATTCTTTTTAATTTTGTAAATTAAAGTTTAGTATTTTCCTGTTTGATTTCCTTTATTTTCTTTTTAGAATTTATTTATTTGCCCTTTTGTCGTTTAAATTGAAAACATAGTGTTTGTTTAGTTGATCCCAAAAATAAAAATGTGTGTTTGTTGGATTTTATATTTGAAATAGTGTATTTTGTTTGTTAACATTTTATTTCAGACCTATTTCCTTAAAAAGAACTGTTTAATAGTTGGCTAGAAAAGGTACATAGATTTTGATTTTATCATTACATGTTTTAAAATGTTCTCAAATCCAGGTCATAGAGGATCGTTATCTATACACAATTTTCTGTTTAAAAATATAGAAAATCTTGTTGTGGAAACATTTATAAGTCATTTATAATTACGTGCATTTTCAAACTGCAAGTTCAAGGATTATTATCCTTGCTTACTAAATCTCATGTATAAATAAAATGAATAACATTTCTATAATTAATATTTATTTTTCCAATTTTTGGATTTAGAATTCAATAGAACATGGAGCAAATAATGAAAATCAATTATTTACTTTTAGAATATAAAAAATATACGTATTTTTTTATTAAATATGGGTCACATTTTAAATTATCCAATAACCATGTACGCATACAAATGAAAAGACATTTATTTGTATGTCTATAAAATGTCATAAACATTTTGTAAATTATGGGGTGGTTTATAGCATCAAACGGAAAAGAGTGCTCTTCTATAATATCATCTTGAATTTACTTTAAAGTTTTTCATTATTATAATGTTTTTTTTTCTCTGTTGCCCTCTTAAAGCTTATTTTTATTAGTTTTTTTTTCGACAATTTACTTGTAGAATCTAGTTTAATACACTTGGTTTTGGCTTTTTTTGTTTATTTAAAAGAAAAACGTTGTCGCAACTTTGTTAAGGCATGTAAATGTTGTTTCCTTTTTGCTTATTTCTTCTTTACACACACACTCTTCTGTATGTCACACTCAAATCCATACACAAACATACACTCGTACATCTAGAATTTTTTCTTATATACACTTGTAGTTCCCTTTTATATCTTCCTTTTTTCTTATATGCAAAAAAAATTGAAATAAAAAATTTAAAAAAAAGTATGTTTGTTCAATGGCCCAAAAACCGCTGAAGCTTATGTGTCCTAGCCGCCAAACAAGTAAATAAAGCTTTAATATGTTTTGAAATATTTATTTTATATTATATTTAAATAATCATTTATATCCCTTTTGTTTTTGTGTTTTTTTTTTTTCTAGATATAAATGAAATGTTTTTTTTAATATTTTTTAAAGTATGCTTTAGTTTTTTCTTTTGATATTCTGATATAAATGTATTTTGTTAATACGAAAATTAAGCTTCTTAAGTGGATATCGATGGTTGTGCTCTGATACCACAACACTAATGAGATATTGATGCCAACATATTACTCTTTCATCTTAATGTTAAATTGCATCATTATCTCATTTTTAATGAAAAAATATTTATTAATTTGAATTGCGAGTTCTAGTTTGCATGTCTCAGTTAATGCTGGTTATAATTGTTCGATAAAAGTCTAGAACATATAAAAGGTTTCATAAAGAAGAGGCATAGAATTGCGAAAGTTATTCAGAATCTGAACAAACTTTTTCTATAAAAAGTTGTTCAGGCACTGAACAAACTTCTGTAAATAGTTGTTAAAAAACTTAACTTCTTCTATAAAAGAAATTGAACAAACTTTTTCTATAAAAAAGTTGTTCAGAAACTGAACAAACTTTTTCTATAAAAAGTTGTCTAATAACTTAATAAACTTCATCTATAAAAAGTAGTTCAGAAACTTAACTTTTTCTGTAAAAAAAGTTGTTCAGAAACTAAAAAAATTTTTTCTATATAAAGTCGTTCTATAAAAAGTTGTTTGGAAACTGAACAACCTTTTTCTATAAAAAGTTGTTCAGAAACTGAACAAACCTCAGAAACTAAACAAATGTTTTCTATATAAAGTCGTTCTATAAAAAGTTGTTGAGAAACTGAACAAACTTTTTCTATAAAAAGTTGTTGAGAAACTGAACAAACTTTTTCTATAAAAAGTTGTTCAGAAACTGAACAAACTTTTTCTATAAAAAGTTGTTCAGAAACTGAACAAACTTTTTCTATAAAAAGTTGTTCAGAAACTGAACAACCTTTTTCTATAAAAAGTTGTTCAGAAACTGAACAAAGTTTTTCTATAAAAAAATTGTTCCGAAACTGAACAAAGTTTTTCTATAAAAAGTTGTTCAGAAACTGAACAAACTTTTTCTATAAAAAGTTGTTCAGAAACTGAACAAACTTTTTCTATAAAAATTTATTCAGAAACTGAACAAACTTTTTCTATAGAAAGTTGTTCAGAAACTGAACAAACTTTTTCTATAAAAGTTGTTCAGAAACTGAACAAACTTTTTCTATAAAAAGTTGTTCAGAAACTGAACAAACTTTTTCTATAATAAGTTGTTCAGAAACTGAACAAACCTCAGAAACTAAACAAATGTTTTCTATATAAAGTCGTTCTATAAAAAGTTGTTCAGAAACTGAACAAACTTTTTCTATAAAAAGTTGTTCAGAAACTGAACAAACTTTTTCTATAAAAAGTTGTTCAGAAACTGAACAAACTTTTTCTATAAAAAGTTGTTCAGAAACTGAACAAACTTTTTCTATAAAAAGTTGTTCAGAAACTGAACAAACTTTTTCTATAAAAAGTTGTTCAGAAGCTGAACAAACTTTTTCTATAAAAAGTTGTTCAGAAACTGAACAAAGTTTTTCTATAAAAAGTTGTTCAGAAACTGAACAAACTTTTTCTATAAAAAGTTGTTTAGAAACTAAACAAACTTTTGCTATAAAAAGTTTTTCGGAAACTGAACAAACTTTTTCTATAAAAAGTTGTTCAGAAACTGAACAAACTTTTTCTACAAAAAGTTGTTCAGAAACTGAACAAACTTTTTCTATAAAAAGTTGTTCAGAAACTGAACAAACTTTTTCTATAAAAATTTGTTCAGACTTTTTCTATAAAAAGTTGTTCAGAAACTGAACAAAGTTTTTCTATAAAAAGTTGTTCAGAAACTGAACAAAGTTTTTCTATAAAAAGTTGTTTAGAAACTAAACAAACTTTTTCTATAAAAAGTTGTTTAGAAACTAAACAAACTTTTGCTATAAAAAGTTTTTCGGAAACTGAACAAACTTTTTCTATTAGAATAAACTGAACAACGTTTTTTTATAAAAAGTTGTTTAGAAACTGAAGATGCTTTTTCTATAGGAAGTTGTTCAGAAACTGAAATAACTTTTTCTATAAAAAAGTTGTTCAGAAACTGAACTTACTTTATCTATGTTCAAAAACTGTACAAGCTTTTGCTATAAAACTTAAAAAACTAATTTTTTGTGTGAAAATATAAAATTTTGAACCAAATGATTAGCCAGTATTACTTTTCTTATAAAAAAAAGAAGAAATTTGAAAATGTTTATCAGTTTCTTTTTAATATATTTTGTCTTAAACAAAATTTTAATGCACTTTATTAATTAACTAATTAATTATTAGCTTCTGTTTCAATGCCACTTAAAATTGTTTTAGCATGTGTTGTGTTTTTTATACTTTTTTTATTCGAATTTTATTCTTTCTTTAATTGGTTTTTATTGGTCCATTCAGTTTAGTAATATTTTTGCTAGCAAATAATTGTATTTTGTATAATTATTATTAATAAAATATAAAATTGGTCAATACAAAACTCTACACCTCTAATGAAAGCACCGAAAATGCAAAAACAATAAGGTAAAACTGTTTTCTTTATTAAAAACAAATTATTTAAAGTATTTTTTATCATTTAAACAATTTACTACATATTACAATTACTTATTGTCTTATTAATTGTATTTAATTACAGTTAAACAGATTATTATATACTTTCAGAATACATACAAACATATTATAGTTTTTTCTTCTTTTTTTAACAGTTTTCAATTCATCGTTAGTTTTTATTAGTTTAAATTTCAGGGGAAAATTATCACTTCCTGGGTCAGGTTATTTAAAATGATATATTTTTATTTTATTTAAATAAATATTGAAATCAGTGTAGTCCATTATTTCAAACTTTAAGTGCCATAAGAATTTGGTTATTAAACAATATGTATGTTTTTAATACAGTTCTAGAATTATTAAATATTTATATGGAAAATAACCAGTCCGTTAGTAACAAAATATTTGTTAAATTTTTAATGAAATTATTATAAAAATTTCATAACAAAACTTAAGTTTTAGAAATGGATTAACATACAAATAATTTCGCTCCGTTTTTAAATCAAATTCCTTTTTTATGTAAAAATAAACTTCTAAATTTTGTTTTAACAAATTATGTTAATTGTCCAAAATGTCCCAATTTCCCAACTTTCATGTTCTTTTATTATTATTATTTGTCTTTTCATTATACACTTCATATGGATTTTCTTTTCAATAACATCATACGATTTCAAAATTCTCATTTTTATACAATTTCAGTTTCACTTAACTCTACTCAAGCATTTTTTTCATACATATTTTCAGATTTTTAAAAAAAATATATAGAATTTTTCATGCATTAAATTAAAAATTAGTTTATTTTTCGAGTAATTTACTACATGTATTTATAACTTTATAAGTAAATGATTGTTTAATTGTTTAGAATTAAGTTGACAGGACGTTTGTAGTTTTAAAAATTGTATATTTTTCTTTTTCACTTTCATAAACAACAAACAGCTCTCGCCTGGTAGGGAATGTTCCGATACCGATATGGAACCACAGGCATCACAGAGTCAAGATTGTGAACCAACACCACCATTGCAAAGGCATAATTCTACCAATTTCTATTTGCCACAATTAGAGAACGGAACGATAGCCACGGGGCAGGGCAATAATGTAAATGGTGCACAAGGCAATGGTGGTGGTGGTGGCGGTGGTGATTCTCCACGTCATATGCGCATGTATCATCCGAGGCATAGTCCTTTAGCCAGACAAAGGTATTTAAAACAATTTAATAAATTTCTATTAACTCATTAATAATTATGACAATTTACAGAGGTTTGGAACCGCAGCGTGGCTTTAATGAAGCCATGTCACCTGACCATCCAAATCATATGCAACAGCAACAACAAGCACAAAATCGTAGTGGGACAACTGCAACGCCCACTATGCAACAGCGTATTAAACCTTTAGGTGTAGCTACCCCTCTGGTTATGGCCAGTCCTGTTAGAAGGTAAGTTTTACTTCTCTCTCCCTTTCAGATTTCATGTACCACCTCATATGTTTTCTTTATACAACAAACATATTCTAAATATTTATATACATATCTCTATATAAATAACACTTTAATTGTTTATATTTTTATTATAAATATTTTGCTTTATATATTTTGTTTCTTAATTTTTTTTTATTTTATTTATCTACAATATATATTTTCTCTGCAAACATAATTTTCTTTTTCAAAAAAAAAAAAAAATCTTAAACAAAATTTTGTTTAAAAAACTATATCAAATACCTAAAAACAAATTTACCCCCTTTTTTATCCCGCATAATTTTCACACTTTGTTTGCAATAAAAAAAATTATATATAAAAGATGGACATAGCTGGAATTTGCCACATTTTCTTTGTGCCAAAATAATCGGTAATTGAACTTTTAAATTTTAGTTAATGGCATTTACTTTCAGTGTGTGTTTTTCTTTTCGGGTTAAAAAATAAATAAATAAAACAGAAACACTTTATTTAGATTTACTTTTTGAGAAAAAATGCACTCGCCTTTAAATATGCTTTGTAGTTTTGTGTGTTTTTTCTTTTCTTTTAATTGTTTGTAGTAATTTAGTTTGAAAATTTTAATAAATTTACATATCGATCATTTGCGAAAAAAGGGGATCATAATAGAAATATTCGGTATTGTTAGATCTCAAAAACTAAAAAGATTATTTCTATAAAAGAATTTATAGCAACTGAAACGTTTTCTATGAAAAAGTTGCTCAGAAACTAAACAACTTTTCCTATAAAGAATAGCTTTTGAGATGCTCAGAACCTAAAACAAATTGATTCATATAAAGTTTCTCGATAACTAAAAAACTATTTTTTATAAATAGTTGAAACTGAACCACTTTTTATATAGAAAGTGTCTCAGAAATTAATGACTTTTTCTATAGAAAGTTGATCAGAAACTGAACAACTTTTTCTGCTCAGAAACTTAACAACTTTTCCTATAAAAGTTGCTCAGAAACTGAACAACTTTTCCTATAAAAATTGCTTTTGAGATGCTCAGAAACTTAACAAATTGTTCCATATAAAGTTTTTCAAAAACTAAATAACTTTTTATATAAAAAGTTGTCAAGAATCTGAACTACTTTGTATATAGAAAGTATCTCAGAAACTAAAAGATTTTTTCTATGCTCAGAAACTTATCAGGTTAGGTTAGGTTAGGTTGATAGGAGGATGTATACTACATCAAATCCGAAGAAATACACCTAGGCCACTATCGGGCCTGTTGTGCGCTCCAATTCAAGAAAAAAAAAAAAAAAAAAAAAAAAAAAAAAAAAAAATTGTTTACTGAATGTTCAGAAACTCAGTTTCCTGGACGTAATTCCTAAGAATCTTCCAATCGGTGTTGGTTAAGAATGTTATTTCCGGAATAACATCACTTCCAAGATACTTGGATCTAACTTCGACGAATGCCTGACAATGGCAAAGAAAGTGCTCCAGAGTTTCACTGTCCTCTCCACATGCTCTACATTCGTCTGAATTCGCACGTCCAATTTTGTATAGATGTGCTCGTAATCCTGTGTGTCCACTTAGAATACGTACCATCATACTAACCTCAGACTTGCTCATTTTGAGAAGATTTCTCGTCTTGCTCTCATCAGGGTCACCCCATAGAATCTTTGTGGTTCTACCCACCGTTTCATTATTCCAAGAGGCCTTATGGGATTCTCTCATCCATATTTTTAATTCAGCTTTTGTTGCGTCGAATGGTTTTGCGTTTGTCAGGTTAACTACATCGAGCTCCCTTCCCTTTAAAGCTATTACATTTGCCCTTTCGTTGCCGATTACTCCCGAGTGGCCTGGTACCCATATGATGTGAACCTTACCTCTGGGAGAGTATTCAGTTAAAGCTTTCTTACAATCCAATACGGTCTTAGATTTAATTCTATCACCTGATATCGCACAAATTGCCTTCTGGCTGTCGGTAAATATATTAAGCCCTGTGGGCGCCATATTTATTCTAATCCAATTTACACATTCCGTTATTGCTCGTACTTCTGCCTGGAAGCTTGTGTTATGATTAGGTAAACGGTGGTATATTTCTGTTTCTGGGTCTTCAATATAGAACCCCAGACCCACTTTGTCCCCTAATTTAGAGCCATCCGTGTAGCAACGGATTCCTACTGGTATTTGCTCTAATGTTCCGCTTGACCAAGACATTCTATCTGGGATTAGCGTTTCAAAGTTTCCGACATATTCAGTGTCTGGTATGCGATCAGGCACGTCCGATGAATGTGTATAACCTTCCAATGTGTCCAGTATACATTGATGACGTGTCCTATAACCGTTTTTGGCCAGTTCGCCTAAAGTAAAGAGCCGTTCGGCTGTAAGCGCCGCCTCATATCTTATATATGTTTCAATGGGTGGAATATCTAGCAACGTTTCCAGAGCCTTGGTTGAAGTAGTACACATGGCACCACTTATACCCAAGCAGCATGTACGCTGAACTCCCTGTAGTAGTTTGATATTACACTTTTTGTCCAAAGCAGTCCACCAGATTATTGAAGCATAAGCTAGAATTGGTCTAATTACACTTTTATAAAGCCAATTTGTCATAGTAGGACTAAGACCCCCATTTCATGCCTATGGTTCTCCTACATATCGCCCAGCACCGATGTGCCTTGTTGATCCTATCCTCTATGTGGTGTCTCCATTTTAATTTCCGGTCAAGTATTACACCTAAGTACTTAACTTTGTCTGTCACCGGTATCTTCTTGCCCAAGAAGCAAGGTTCAGTATATGTAGAAATTTTTGTCTTTCTTGTGAAAAGACAGATTTCCGTCTTCGCCGGGTTAACATTGAGGCCTCTCGGTTGAGCCCAGCTCAAGGCCGTATTCAGAGCCTCCTCAGCTCTTCTACACAAGTAATTTGGATCCTTTCCCTTTAAAAGTATTACGACATCGTCTGCATAGCAGACAGGTCTAAGTCCTTTCTCGGTTAGGGTCCTTAGGAGGCTATTAATCGTGGTGACCCAGAGTAAAGGTGACAAAATGCCACCCTGTGGTATACCGCGAAATACCTTTTTCCTGATAGTTATATCGTACATCTCGCAGCTTATCCATCTGTTCCTTAGCATGTAGTTGATCCAGTTACGGAGCACCCGGTCAACATAAAACTGGTCTAGGGATTGGATAAGGGTATCAGTGTGCACGTTATTGAAAGCGCCTTCGATGTCAATGCATACTGCCAGTGTATACAGTTTGCTATCGAAAGATTCACCTATGTAGTGGACAACTTCATTTAAAGCGGTTTCCACCGATCGTCCCTTTACATAAGCATGCTGCTTATATTTAAGGTCATTGTATGGTATGCTGCTTTTAACCATGCTATCGACTATCCGTTCCAAGGTTTTAAGTAGGAAGGACGTAAGACTTATCGGTCGATAGGACTTAGGTGTCGCATAGCTAGGTTTCCCTGGTTTGGGTATAAATATTACCCTTGCATCCTGCCATTTAACTGGGGTATATGCCAATTTCAAGCATGCAGTGAATATCTGAGATAGATGTACGGAAACCAGTCCCGCCTCCATCTGCAAAAGTGCCGGGAAAATTCCATCCGGTCCTGCAGCTTTATAGGGAGCAAAGCTCTTGATTGCCCCTTTCACCATGTCAGTTGTAATAACTATTTCCGTGTTACCCTCCCCTTCCTCCAATATCGGTTCATCTATGTTATTCGATATACCGGGTGGGAAATGAGAATCCATTAGGAGTTTCATTGTCTCCTCCATATCCTCAAGCCTCCTGCCCGTGTCATCGATCATAGATTCCGGTTGGACATGAGTTTTGGATAGGAATTTTTTTTATCTTCGATACGTCATTTACGCTATCTACCTGTTCACAGAAAAGTTTCCAGGAGTCTCGTTTGGCTTTTCGAACGATTTTCTTATATTCACCAAGTTTATTACGATACTCATCCCAGTATACTGCGGTCTTTTTACGCCGTGCCCGGTTAAATAGTTTGCGAAGAGTCTTCCCAAGGTTCCGGATCTCCCCAGTTACCCAGGGTTTTTCCTGGGCAGATCTCCGCTCTCGCAGGGGGCAGCTGTCCTCGAACGATTCAACCAGGGCACTTGTGAACGTTTCCACTTTGGCATCTATATCCTCTTTATTTCGACATTGAAAAGTGTCCTGACCTAAACGGTTCTTTAGTAAGGTCCCGAACATTGTCCAATTAGTTTTAGACTTATTCCGAAACTTTATCGGCTTTGGTGGTGGCCTTAGTATTTTGAATCTTATGTACCGATGATCAGAAAAGGAGTGCTCGTCCGAAACTCTCCAATCCTGAATTTCGTTTATAAGCTCTTCTGAACATATAGTTATATCTAATACTTCTTCTCTGATTCTATTGACGAAGGTAGCTTTATTACCTAAGTTCAATGTTATCAAGTCTTTAGTATTAAAGAAATCCATGAGGGCTTGTCCCCTGCGATTGGTGTTTGTACTACCCCAAGCTACATGATGCGAGTTGGCATCACAACCTATTACAATTTTCTTATTTTTCCTTTGTGCCTCTTCAACCAATTTCATCAGATCCGACGTTGGTGGTAGTGTCGGAGAATCGAAAGGCAGGTAAATAGATGCAAGGAATATGTTGCCACGACCTTGCTTCAGCACCGTTGCATCCGATGTTGATAATCCTGTTGAGAGGAGAAAACATAAGTTCTTGTGACATAAGATACATGTTCTCGGGCGAGATCCTGTATCAGCGTAGAAAAGTTGGAAATTTACGTGATTTAATCCAGAAACCTTGTTGCGAATCGTCCAAGGTTCCTGGATTAAAGCTATATGTATTTTACCTGTGTTGATTTTAGCCATCAGAGCGTTGGTAGCTGTCTCGCT